ATAATGATAAAAGTACAATTGATGAAGAAGGTATGACCGTCACAAATTTTCATGCAGTAGATAATAAAGGAAACAACTATACAAAACAAAATTCCTAAAGTGCAGAGATCATACACATACAAGCACACAAGATCACAGAGTACAATCTCACTATATATACATAGACACACATACATACAAATATGTATGCACACATAAATATATGTACACATAAATATTTCAGAACATGATAGGACAATTGCATAAAACAGGAAAAGATTTGGAATTTTTAAATAATGCCATCAACAACCTTGACAATATTGAAAATATTGACCTATAAATACAAAAATATACATTCTTTTTTGCCTATGGAATACTTGCACAAATTAATCTGTACTTGTCAGCAAAGAATACCTTAAAAATTCGAAAATAATTGGAATGAAATACATGGCTAAACTAACAACACTTATAAAATATATGGAAACTAATAATTTTTTTTTTTTTTTTTGAGTTGGAGTCTCACTCTGTCGCCCAGACTGGAGTGCAATGGCCGCTCCCGGCCACCGCAGCCTCGACTTGCTGGGCTCCGGCGATCCTTCCGCCTCAGCCTTCCAAGTAGCCAGAATTACAGGCATGCACTACCACGCCCGGTTGATTTTTTGATTTATTGTAGAGATGCGGTCTCGCTGCCCAGACAGGTCTCGAACCTGCGGGCTCAGGCAATCCACTCACTTCAGCCTCCTAAAGGCGCGGGATTACAGGCTGAGCCACCGAGCCCGGCTGTAACTAATAATTAAAGATAGACTCACCCTACCCCTTTAAAAAAGTAACTATTCGAATTTTAAGATTAGAAAATTCATAGCATATTAAAATAAATTCTAGATTAATTAAATATAGGAGGATGCCAAAAAAAAGTATACACATTTTAAGTATGACATTTGCTCAAAAGGTGGCATTAATCAAATGAATGCTAGCATCACCATGCGACAGGCAGGACAGTCAAAGAAAATGGCAGAAGTTACAGTCTAGCGAACATCATACTACATATTATTACTGTAATTCAACTTCATAAAGTAATATATAAATAACATCTCTTAAAAGATGTATACATTTTTTTGCACTCTTGTATATAAATGTGAAAGAAGAAAACATAAAATATGTGAGAAAACTTTTAAATGTATCTGTATAATATTGGAATGGGTGAGATATTCTTATGTAGGACAGGACATATTACATAAATGAACTGTGGCTCAATGGAATTCACTACCTAGCGCCACAATTATATAATGTTAGAATTAGGGATAGACCATGTGTTTTTGATATATGAACAAAAACTATGAGGGTTCAGAGGACAATTAAATTCATTCCATGGTGGACAATGGGGAAGGGTTCACAGAAGAAGCATTATTTGAGCGTTCTTAAAGGAACAAATGAAGTGTCATTTAGGTAGTATATGAAAAAGCACAGAATCTTTAAAGGACCTGGTATTCCAAGACCAGTGAGAAATTCAATGCGATTATCATGTAGAATTAATGACTGCAGAGGTTGAAAATAGACCAATTGGTGAAAGAGGTTATATGCAAAACTAAGAAGTTTTAACTTAATCTGAATGTCTTTATCTTGTTTAAGGCTATTGATGGTAGTTGAAACTATGGTGATTATCAGATCAACCAAGGACAAAGGGTACTCACTGTAGAATGAGAACACATGGCTTGGTGAGACTGGTAATTGTGGACCTCAACATCTATTCTCTCTCACCTCCTTATTAGTAAAATCCTAATTTTAGTTAGAATAGTCCTGTACCAAGCTAAAAGTTGACACGTCTCAGCCTCTCTTGCAACTAGGTTTATCTATGTGATTAAGTTGTGGCTATGCAAAAGTGCTATATGGAACACCCAATTATGATCCTTAAAAGAAGAAAGTGCTCCTTTCTCCTTCTGTCTTTCCTCCTTCTTCCAGACTGCTACAGGGCATGATGTTTGCACCATTAGGTGAACTGGCAGATGGAAGCCTTTTATTAGAATAATGTATTCTGAAAGACTTTGGGGACAGATTCCTATACTTTCTGTGAACAAGAAATGAATTTCTGCCTTGTTGAAGCCACATGTGCCAAAACGAATCCCAACGGATAAAGACGAGTGTTAATGTTATTTTCATGATGAACTCCTACATTTAAGAAATGGTCTGAGCCGGGCTCGGTGGCTCAGCCTGTAATCCCACGCTTTGGGAGGCTGAGGTGAGTGGATTGACTGAGCCTGCGGGTTCGACACCCACCTGGGCAACTTGGTGAGACCTCATCTCTATAATAAAATCAAAAAAATTAGCCGGGCATGGTAGTGCTCACCTGTAGTTCCAGCTACTTGGAAGGCTGAGGTGGAAGGATCGCCGGAGCCCAGCAGGTCGAGACTGTGGTGGCCGGGAGCAGCCACTGCACTCCAGTCTGGGTGACAGAGTGAGACTCCAACTCAAAAAAAAAAAAAAAAAAAGAAATGGTCTGAGAAGAAATTGCCAGTTAAAAAGACTGAAATGGCTCAGCTTGTAATCTCAGCACTTGGGAGGCTGTAGGCAAGTGGATTGACTGAGGCTGAGGGTTCAAGACCAGCCTGGGCAACTTGGCAAGACTTTGTTTCTACCATAAAGTCAAAAATTAGCCGGGTGCGGTAGCATGTGCCTGTAGTTTGGTTACTTGGAAGTCTGAGGCGGAAGGATCACGGGAGCCCAGCAGGTTGACGCTGGGGTGGCGGTGAGCAGGCCACTGCACTCCAGCCTGGGCAACAGAGTGAGACTCTGATTCAAAAAAAAAAAAAAAAAGAGAGAGAGAGAGAGACTGAAAAAGGTTAGACAGGAAAAAGTGGTATATCAAGGAAAAAAGATGGATCCAAGAGGCTGGATGGGAGCAACTTAGAGATCAAGCAAGAAGGCATGAAGGCCAGGCATTCAATTTAGAATTACAAAGTTATTGACTTAAGGAGAGCAATTTCAAGGGGTAATCACATGAAAACAAAGTCGAAGTGGGCTTCTGAGTGAATGAGAGTCAAAGAAGTTGAATTGATATTTAATTTCAGGAGAAGGGAAATAGAACGACAGGTTAAAGATAAGGTAAAATGGAAAAGAAACATTTGATGTCTTTTCTCACAACTGAACTGTATCTCCAATTACCATAACTCTGCTAATATTGGCTACTGTTTAGTAAATTAAAAGAGGTTTATCTAATCCTTTGATAAAATCTCCTAAATAAATCAGAAACAAATGGCCTTTCCTGTTCACAATTATTTTCATTCCAGGACCTGATTCTGTTCCTATATAGTATGCTATTCTGGAAAACAAAGTATTTTCAAATTTAAGTCTCAGCTCAGATTCTGTGGAGGTATATGTATGCATGTAGATGGGGTGGAGATAGCAGGCAGTTCTGATGTCTGAAAGAAATGAAGCTTCCTTTAATTCTGCAAAAGTTTTTATCTAATTATCCAACGATTTAGAGATGTATTGCTTATTTGTATCAAGGATTTTCAATTACACATGAGGAAATGCAAGAATACTGGGGTTTATATGTGATTCATTTGCTAGGTCGCCTCTTCTGTGATCCCTGGACCCTGGTTCTTAGCTCAAGAGTCTTTTCCTATTTCTCTCTCTGTGTCTCTGCTTTTCTCCCTCCCTCCTCTTTCCTTATTTTTTCTTTCTTTCTTGAAGAAAGAATGCAGTTACATTGGAATAGAAGTTCTACACATACGCGCAATGTACTGGATTGCTTGGAATATTTTAACACATATTCAAGGGAAAATACAAATAATTCTTGACAAATTAAAAATTGGGGGGCCAAAACCACCAGGACTGAAGATGCAACTTGGATTCCATAAAATATTGAACAATGTAAATATGTCGAAAATTTATAAATATTTTTTAGATCATTTTTAGTGAGATACTTTCAAACTAATACTTTTAAAAATAACCAATGAAATACTGAAGGCAGTGTATGATGGATAGAAAAATGAAATCAAATTAATGCTGGGGAACTATTTATCAATGTGTGAATTATATGTTTTTGTAACACATGTAAATATCTAAACATTTTTAACATAGTTTTATTTTTTGTATTTTTAATCAAGTTTACTGAGGAATAATAAACATATAATAAAATGCAAATGTTTCAAGTGTATGATGCAATGAGTTTTGAAAAGTATAAATTCTCATGTAACCATCATTACATAGGAATTAGGTTTTCTTAAAGTTTCTTTGCAGTCAATACCCCCTCACTATGATCTTATGCCAAACCACTGATCTTATTTCTTTTTTTTTTTTTTTTTGAGTTGGAGTCTCACTCTGTCGCCCAGACTGGAGTGCAGTGGCCGCTCCCGGCCACCACAGCCTTGACCTGCTGGGCTCCGGCGATCCTTCCACCTCAGCCTTCCAAGTAGACGGAATTACAGGCATGCGCTCCACGCCCGGCTGATTTTTTTTATTTATTGTAGAGATGAGGTCTCGCTTGCCCAGGCGGGTCTCGAACCCGCGGGCTCAGGCAATCCACTCACCTCAGCCTCCCAAAGACGAGGGATTACAGGCTGAGCCACCGAGCCCGGCTTACTGATCTTATTTCTATCCTTTAAATATATTTTTAAAAGAAATTGGTTGGAACCTGAGAAAAAATTAAGTATGCATTATGATGTCTGGTGAAACACTTTAAAGAGCAAATTTTATTTCTATTAGGAAGGAATGTTTCTCCTGCCTTCCTGGATGTGCTTGATAATAGACTAGATGAACATCGTAAATTATAAAGTTTTCTACAAAGGTCAGTCATCATTCAAGTCAGTGAGTTTCAACTTAAAATACTGGTATAAAACCATTCAAATCAAATGGATGAAATAAGTTTTTTACTTTGCAGTGGCCTCATAATTTTGGGAAGTATGGAAAGAGATGTCTTCAAACCAACACCCTTCAATGTCATAGAGGAGCTTCTGTCTGATACTCTCTTCCTGATGTACTGAATGGCCCATCCTTATAAAAATGTTAAACCCACAAAGCCATTTAAAAATAAAAAACTTACATAACTTTATTTTTCAAAGCACTAATATGTGTCCGTTACATTTAGCTACAGTACAAAGAATAATAAAATAGCACCTGGAATTGGTTTAGGTTGTAGAGAATCTTGGCTTCTTCACCTTCCCTATTTTCTCTCCACTTTGCTAACTCAAGAAAACAGAATGCTTCCATTCCCCCTCCTTCAGCCTATTGGGTCACAAGGGGCCTGATTTTCATGCGAACAGCCCTGAGGGAATAGTCTGCTTCTCTAAAGGGAACCCAGACCATTCCATTCTCAATCTCATAAGGACTGTTGTTCCTGGGGTCGTAGGAGCCCCCAGGGTAGTAGATGCCATTGAGATTGGCTGCTTGGCAGCTGTTGTACCACCAGCCTCCACCATAGACTTCCGCACAGTTCTCTTCCCACTGGTCTGCATCCCTGTCAAAGGTGCTGAACTGCATGCCGTTGTGTGATGTGTACTCTGCCCCCTCCTCTGTGGAACCCTCAATCAGAGCATCGCCTGCAGTGCCCTCATAGGAGGAGACCCGCAGAGGGTAGCCTTCAGCCTCAGAGCCTACCTGGAAGTGATACTCTGCATAAGCTCCTTTCCCAGCCCAGTCCTCTAATTCAACCCTAAGAACAGAGTTCCTTTGGGTTAGTAAGTGGAGGTAGTCATTGCCTAGCCAGAATTCTCCTTCCCCCTTGTCATTCAGGCTGCCGAAACCTCTCTTGTAGTCTTGCCAGGTCCGGTTAAAATTCAGTGATCCATCCATTCTTTGCTGGATCAAAAGCCATCCTCCCAAACTGGTCTCTTGATCGCAATAAACAGAAAAAATCTTACTGGATCCTGGGAGCTTGATATTGAAAATGCCACTTTGGGCACCTGAAGGATGTGTTTGGAGGACATCATCACAGTCTAAAAAAAAAATTAAGCTGGTTGGAGGAAGTTACTCTCATTTAACTTTACAAAGACAGGCATGGCTCAGATTTAAAAAAGACAAACACTGCTTCCTTCCCACCCTTTCACTCCCTTCCTTCCTCCCTTCCTCCCTTCCTCCCTTCCTCCCTTCCTCCCTTCCTTCCTTCCTTCCTTCCTCCCTTCCTTCCTTCCTTCCTTCCTTCCCTTCCTCCCTCCATGGTGAAAGGATACACTCGCATAGAACTTAAGCAAGTGTAGGGTATATACACCTACACATCGCAAGGGGGAATTTTCCTCAAACAGATTTTTACTTGCAAATACTCACTAATAGCGAGTAACCAGTAAAGGTAGCTAAACATCAATTAATTTTATCATAATTTATTTTTAACCTGACCTCTATGTCAACTGAGACACACACTAAAAATATGATTAATCAATTGGGTAACAATTCCAAGAGCTTACACACTTTGAATGGTGAAAGAATTTAATTAAATAAACTCAAAATCGAGTTTCAGAAGAATTCATTCATTTAACATGTATTTATTGAGTGATGACTCTCTGCACTGTTAGGTATTTGGGAATACAGAGATGAACATGACAGACAAGGCCCTGCCCCCATGGAACTTACAGTCTAGCACAAAAACAGGTCAAAAAAGTATAATTTCAATAAAGTGTAATAAAGAGTGAGGGAAGATGTGCAAGGTGCTGTGGAAGCACTTTGCAGAAAAAATTAACTTAGTTTAGGGAGTCAGGGAAGGCTTCCCCAAAGGAGAAATGTGGATACCTCTGGAAGGGCGAGGTTTAGCCTGGCCTCTCTTGGTGGTACGAGCTCCTTTGAGGTCGGCAACACCAGCTTCACCTCCAGCCTCATCTGCCATTTTATAGCTCTTGGTTTCCACTGTGGAGCCTCCTCTGTTATAAGTTGTGCTACTGCTTACAAATTGTTTGCTGTGACTTGAAGTTTTACTACTGGAAGGGAACTCAGGAACACCGAAGTGATGAGAGCTGGTGTCCCCTCCATCTGTGAAGCTGTCAGACTCTGAGCCCATAGACTGGGTCTTACTGCTAAACTCCTTGAACATAGGCGAGAGTAAACTTGGGAATGTTTTTCCAGTCGATTCAGTGTCAAAGAAAGCAGCTTCATCGGGGTGCCTAAGGCGGAACTCATCCAGGCTACTCCTGCCAGACAAGGTACCCAAATCGAATGCCTCACCACAGTCAGAACCGTCTTCAGAGTTCACCACTTCTTTGGTCACTTCTTTGTGACCATCGGGACCTATAACAGTCTTTGTAACGGTTTTAGAGCATGAACGACGTGTGGTGGTGCTACCAGAGGTGACCTTCTCATTACCAATCAGGAGCTCTTTATCTCCTTTAGAAGTGACTAGTTTACCTGTGTGGAACTCTTTCTTTGTCCCTGGACTTACAATTCCTGATACCTCTTCAAATGTACCCCAGTCTGGGTTGGCAGGCCTGGTATTCCCGTGGCCTGAGCTATCTGGTCTAAAACTTCCAGATCCTGAGCTCCCAGGGTTCCAGTGTCCAGTACTGTCAGTTCCGGAGCTCCCAGGGTTCCAGTCTCTACTACCACCAGTTCCAGAGCTCCCAGCATTCCAGTTTCCAGTACTATCAGGTCCTGAGCTCCCAGGGTTCCAGTGTCCAGTGCTACCATGTCCAGAGCTCCCAGGGTTCCAGGTTCCGGTGCTACCAGGTCCGGAGCTCCCAGGGTTCCAGGTTCCAGTGCTGCCAGGTCCGGAGCTCCCAGGGTTCCAGTTTCCAGTGCTGCCAGGCCCGGAACTCCCAGGGTTCCAGTTTCCACTACTACCAGGTCCAGAGCTCCCAGGATTCCGGTTTCCAGGACTTCCAGGATTCCTGGGGCTTTCTCTCTCTGATCCTGTTCCATGTGTTGCAGAGTCTCCTCTGGCATTCCCTTCTCTACCAGGCCTCTCTAGTTCCATTCTCATCTGTTGCATTTCTGTTAATGCCTTCCACTCTAGAGGGGCCGTCTGCAGCTGGCTCTTGAAATGTACAGGAACCAAGTCTGGAACTGGGTTCATTTTTATCAATGGTAGGTATTGCCTGTCTCGGGGGGGAAGCAAGTCTTTGGCAATGACCTGTTCGAGTTGCTTCTGCTGATCTTCATAGTCCTTTAGATCTACCTCACGAGCTAAAGCCCTGCTGCATGACCCTCGGCAAGATCGGATCTTTATATCAACATCCACCTAGAGAGAGGGGAGGCAGAGAGAAAAGGTAGATATAAAAACTTAAATTGTATCTACCGAGTTCCTGGTAGTTAATTTATTTTTGGGGTACGGTTTCATTTCTTTGTCTTGGAGACCTACCAGTCAGTACTCTGCTTTCCTGTTACCTGGTATCCTCAGTGGAAGAAATGCTGGATACTATAAGTCTAGCCAGGGTAAGCAATGGGCATTATTTGGATTCACCTTACCCTTAGAATGAACCAAGAGTCAGATGCTATTCCTTCTGAAAGGAAACACTAATTAAAGTTTCCTTGGTGATCCTGAGGCCAAAGATTTAGAGGTATGGAGGTATAATGGGCTTTGAAATTAGATAGATATGGACTAGACATTTGCTTCTGAAAATCACTATCTATATGACCTTGGACAATTTACTTAATATAATTGAACTTTTTTCTTCAACTGTAGAGTGGGAATAATACCTACTTCTAGGTAGATAATGGATATAACAGTTTTCTCTGCATATAGCAGATACTTAATGCATGATTATTGTCTTTCTTTTCTTTGCTTTCAAAAACAAGGAAGTCTGGGGCCAGAACCATATACTTACCTCCAGTCGTTTCATATCGATCAGCTGAGCCCTGACATTGTTCTGCAGAAGTTGGATATGCTGTACTTTTTCTAGAACTTTCCGCTTCAGGACCTCAATTCTGCTTCTCAGATCTTCTGACACTTGGCTATATGTATTATCACTGTCTGAAATAGAAAATATGGGTATTGAAGCAGCTGCTGAGTGATTTGTCTGTAATTGTCAACAACAACAAAAAAGAAATTTGCTTGTAAATATTCCCACATTTTATTTTGGTCATAGTTTGCTTATAATTTAATCAGTGAGTTCCAAACCTATTAGGCATTTGATTTTTGGATAATGTTATGTCCTGCAGTTATTTATAAATATCAGTTAAAATGTCCTATTAGTAATTAATAGTCCCAAATATGGAAGAAGAAATTTCTTTGAAATTTTGAAGGTTAAATTAGAAGTTAAACTAATTGGTTTGATAACATTCCAATTATTTTATCATATCCTTAATCAAGAGACTTGAACATACTACTGGATTTTCTTATTGAAGAGTTTTTCTTTCTACCTACAGTTTTGAAATTTGCTCTTAAGTTTTTTTGGGTCAACATTTCACTTATTTGCTAGCCAGTGTTGTGTTACTGACGTTAAACTAGTCAAGTGTCTCCTGAAAGTTTAAGGAGGCAAAACAAGGCTTCAGGAACTGAGGCCTCACTGGACTCACTACCCATGCCCATAGTGCATGCAATGTTTCCTAACCTAATAAATGCCCTGTGAGGAAGATAAAATATGGCTCTGTATTTTAAATGTTAAAATCTATATAACCAGCTCAGTGGAACTCCCAGCTTTGTGTCTTTGAGCAAGTTCCTTTACCTCTCAGTTTCCTCCTCTGTAAGACAGAAGCAAAACTATCCATTCAAAGTATCTGGCCCATCTTATTTTCTGTATATACTCTTGAATAGAACACACTTACCTTCCTGTCTTATATCCAAACTTCTTACTTTGTGCTCTTTAACAACCTAAGCTAACTTCTTTTACTTTGTGAAAATAACAAAACAATAACAATTTTAAGCCCCTACTTAAAATTCAGGGATGTTATGTTTCTATACTAAGTACTTGGGAATAAAATTACAGTAGCTATAAGCAAACATCATATTTATTTAGGACTCTTATTGTACTTGCTATAAAGTCAAAACACTAAATATGTAATACTTACTACTGGCTCTGGCAAAGTCGCCTCTCAAAAGTTCCATTATATTTCTGGTTAACGTATTAGAATCCTTATTGTTCTTCTGATACTCAAATAATGAATTTTTGAGCTTATTTATTCTGTTTGTAAAATCTTGATTGACTTCATCTATCAATCCTTTCATCCTGCAGCCAGAAGGGCATTTGTAGTTCTGAAAGTGAAGGGGAAAAATTACAGTAAAGGTCTCTTGGATGTAGAATCATTTTGCAGGTTTCTGTGCAGCCATTGCTTCCTCACCCCGTATCTTCAGATCATTTATTGGCTTAAAAGGAGTTAAGAGGACTAGTTAGAGGTCATAAGGAAATTCTGGAATGAGGGTCTCCTGAACCATAAATTAGGTCCCAGGGAATTGAAGCCACAACAGTCAGGGTCCTAGTACTTGCCTGAGTGTGCAACTATAATCCAATCTGTTCATCCCACGAATGATCCAGAGTTGGGGAGGCAATTAAACAGTGTCCTTGGGACTAGATTTCTTTTCATTTATTTGGCATGTAAGCAACTATGAGATTATTTCCTACTGGAAAAAGTTTATGGGACCAACCTGGTCAGCCTGTGAGCCCTTCTAGCACCACAGGAAAGGGAACTTCTCCTCCCCAGACTCACTGCTTACCCAGTCTTCATCAGAGCAGAAGGGCCAGCCTGACTCTTTGCAGGCAGATTGATGTCTTTCCACGACTCTTGGGCCACGTGCACCTCCTCCTTCAGCTATAAATTCGCCTTCTTCAGTATCTGCAGTCTTTACAGGTTCATTTATACACACAAAAGACAGAAACAGCAGTTAGCTAAAGGAAAAGACACTGGCATCGTTCAAAGTCCCAAGGATGCACTCACACAGAGATTAAGCACCAGCTTCTGAACTTTCACAAGCCTCAGGTTTCTTATCCTCGAATGAAAATACTAAGACCCATTTTATAGAGTTGTTAGGAGAATTAAAGAAGAAGGTGTACAAAATTCTTGACTGCATTTGGCACAAAATGAGCATTTGCTAAATGCTGGAAGTTTTAAAGGATCCATTATAAAAGGAAAATTATTTGAATCAACAAACTTAAATTTTACCTTTTCATTTTTACTAAGACTGCGGATGAAAGATAATTGAAAAGTTTGAAGAGTTCTTTCTTTTGTAATTCCTGCTTCCGTAGGAAAACAACCTATGCTGTATTAACTTAATGTCCCTCTCTCCTTCAAATTTCTACTATAACCTTTAGAGATGAGTTCATACTTTGGACAAGCATATACCAAATGTGCTCACATCAGAATCAGAATTGATTTTTAGTTTACTCTTTCATGAAATAATTTCTTATTATTTGAAACTGAAAATTAAAAAAAAAAAAAACCAAAAGTAAACTGAAAGTAAAAGCAGTGGTCAGTGACTGACTTTTTAAAAACACCTTATAATTAGAAATACAGACTTTTAAATTTCTATTGTAGGGCAACCCCTTCGTGTTCCCTCTCACTGTGGGAGCTTTTCTGCCCTCTCAATAAATCCTGCTTTAAAAAAATTTTTTTTGGGGAACCAGAATGTGAAATAAAATATAAAGCAATTCTTCCAACAAGACTTAGTATCCTAATAAAGATGGCTTTTAGGTTTTAGTTATTTTTGTTCTATAGGGAGTGCCCAAAAATGCATACACATTTTTAACAATTTTATTTTATTTTAAAGATGTGGGATACAAGTCAGGATTAGGTATATAAGTGGTCTTTGTACAGGTAAAGTTTGGGTCTACCTTTGGTCCCTACTTTTCCTGATTTGAGATCAGGTATCCTTATTAATGTTATGTACCCCCCTACTGCCCAGCAGTTTCTGGCTACTGTCACTCCCTTTCTTCTCAGTATACACATTTTAAGTGTGATGTTTGCTCAAAAGATGGCATTAATCAAATGAATGTTAGCGTCACTATGTGGCAGGCAGGACAAAGAAAATGGCAGAAGCACAGTTGAGCGAACGTCATACTACTCATTGCTACCGTAATTTAATTCAACTTCAAAAAGTACTACATAGATAAAATCTCTTACAATGTGTATACATTTTTTTGGCACCCTCTGTATATCACCAGCTTATAGTGATTTTGCTGTGACTATTTTAATCTAAGTTAGCTTATTCTTATAATTAGTTAACATTTGCAGTATCATTTTCAATTGAAAAATCCAAATAATAGTAATATAGTTCAAAGCATTCATAATTAGTTAAAAGAATAAGCACAATTCTTTTGTCAAAGAAATAAAATAGTAAATTCAAATATATTTCAGAATAATATGGTACAACAGTAAAAGCAGGCCAAAACTTAATATGTATGCCAATGAGGAGGGCAGGAGAAATAATCGAAACCTATAAATAATTGAAACCAAAATATCACATTAGCAAATAATTTTAGTTTTATTTCCCACAAAAAAATTATATTTTTTATTTTACAGTAAGGGAGAGAATTAAGTTGGAGAACTCCTTCAGCTTTTTTCTCTGCACTGTCTGATATTAGGGTTTATGGATGGTAAAGGGCAAGAAATGAATTGAAATAATTTATCTTGGATTACTAACCAGGAGGTAACTGAGTTTTTTGAACATATTTGTCATGTTTTTATAGATCAAAGTGTTTCAAAATGCTTGATAAATGAAGTTTCTTTTATGTAGGTTTCTGGAGTTAAATTTTAGAAATTATTGCAATATATAGAAGATATCTTAACAAAATACTATTACTTCCAAAAAGCATATTGCCTTATTCTCTAATCTCTTCTGGTTTTGCAAAGATATTTCCAAAGATAATTTATATACTTTTTCTTTTGTCTTGAAAGAAAGCAAAACAACCTTTCAGAAAGACTGTACTAAAACCAAAATGATAAGAAATTAAGAATTAGAGAAAAAAAAAATCTTACCATAAAATGTTCTGTTTTGTGAATTAGCATTATAATGCCTCAAGGCTTTATAGCCTCTAAGATGGCAAAAATATTCTTACTTTAACAACAACAACAAATATTATTGTAAGACTGAATGACAAATATTGAAGCTTCCCTTGTACATTTCCACACTGTGGTCCATCTAAGGTCTTCCTCTTGGAGTCATATTGCCCTGTACTTTGGAGGTGACAAGACCATCCAGGAACTTGTCCCCACGACTTGGAGTTTGTAAGGCTCCGAGTGTGTCAGGACACAGAACAGGTGAACTCAGACCTCTAAGCTCTTTGTAGAATAAACACTAGAGAGAAAGCAAGAAGATAAAATAAAAAGGACCATACCCAGACTGTGCCCACCACACTCAGGACCAAGCAGACGATCCTCATGGATAACATCTTTTCTAAGGGCGGGGCTGGCTCATGAGAAGCAATCCAGCTAAAAGAGAGGAGGATTGCCTCCACTCCTGGTTCCCATTCCACTTAAATCTGTAGAAGGTTTGGTTAATCATTTCCCTTGTCCTGTTTAGACAGTCAACGTTCTCTATAGGTTTTGTTCCAATCTTTTGCACCATAATGTTAGTGTCCTAGAAATTCTTGCTCAATGCCTCTCAGCTTGTTTGCTTCCGATCAGCTCTTGCAAAGGCTGTATTTGATTCTTTAGCCAGTGTTTAGGGGAATATTCCACATTCCAGGAATAGGATGACTTTGAAAATGAAAAAGGGACAAAGGAGGACATACCCATGCTTCCATACTAGAAGGAATCTGGAGGGGGGCTGAGGTAGGCTAGCTGTAACCCCCTGGGAAGTGGAGATTTAAAAAACAATATTTCACTTTATGCAGGAATTAGAGTTGGTTGATCTGACCTTTAAAAAATGACTTTGGTGGTAAGTTGGCCTCAAAGGTCTTCTATAAACTTATGTTGAACAGATTAATTTTTCTATGATTAAGACAGCAGCCCCTGGAGCCAAACATCCTAAATTCATAATCCCAGCTACACCATTTCCCAGCTCTGTGCTCTTGGACAAGTTACCACTCTATGCCTCGGTTTCCTCTAAAAAGTAAGGATAATGATAACATTCCTCAAATGCTTTTATGAAGAATAAATGAGTTAATTCTCATAAAGCCCTCAGATCAGTGACTATTGCATAGTGTTAACTCAGTAAGTGTCAACAACATTGGAGAGACCAGGCTCGGTGGCTATGCCTGTAATCCCAGCACTTTGGGAGGCCAGGCAAGTGCATTGCCTAAACCTGCAGGTTTGAGACCAGCCTGGCCAACTTGGGAAGAACTCGTCTCTACAATAAATCAAAAAATTAGCCAGGCGTGGTAGCGCTCACTTGTAGTTCTGGCTACTTGGAAGGCTGAGGTGGAAGGATTGCCAGAGCCTAGGAAGTCGACACTGGGGTAGCCATGAGCATACCACTGCACTCCAGCCTGGGTACGGAGTGAGACTCTAACTCAAAAAAACCCAAAAAACAATTATTGGAGAGCATTACATGCCGTGAAGAATACCATTTCTTTCCTGTTTCTGAGCCTGTGGACATGCCAACTTACTTTCCCTGCACTTCATCTCCTTGATAAATTTCTCCTTGCCTCAACAGAACTACCATATAATCCAGCAATCTCATTTTTGAGTATTTTCAAAGGAACTGAGTTCAGGATCTTGAAGAGATTTCTGCACGCCTGTGTTTATTGCAGTATTCTTCACAATAGCCAACCTACCTGTATCTCCATAAATGAGTAAAGAAAATGTGATATATAGGGTATATTTATCAAGGTAATAGCCTCCCACAATGACTGCACTGACACAATGCCACACATGAGTAAGAAGGCAATGTTTGACTTCCATGGATGTGTTCCTGTGCCCATGGGAAGTGCCCTTTTTGAGAGGTGCACATGGTATGGCAAAGAAGTTCCTAGAGAGTAACCTGGTAGACTTCAGATGAGTTCGGTGAACATAATCTAAGCTTCATGAGGCCAAGGCACACTACCTGGTCCAGTGCCAGGTGTGGAGTAAGTACTCAGTTGGAGGAAAGGAAGGCCATCACAACAAAGGGGACTCACTGTTTGGTGGAGGAAATCTGTACACTCATTATTAGCCTAGTAACAGGAAGATAATGGTTCATTAACAGGAAATACTTTGCTAAGTACTTTGTTAAATGGATACTCGGAAAATACTAAAACTATCTTCTAAATTTTGAAATTCTTAAATTATAAAAATATAGGAGAGTTTGGCATTTATAAATACTCTTGCAGGGTCTCTGCCTCAGATTTTATATCTATAAAGGAGTCAGTGGAAAGAATTGGCCAGGCAACTTAACTTTGTGTATTTCATCTTCTCTTCTTGTCTCCTGCATTTCAAGCTGTTACAAAAGTGTTTTCACCCAGCTGTTTACTGTGAAAGGTAAATGAGCTGGTAGGAAGATCTATGTGAGAGTGACTCATGGGGTGTTTGTTTTCAGAACTCATTAGTACCCTGACTCCAGATGGTTTCCTTGGAAGTTATAGATGTGGAGAAAAGATAGGGATTTCCCTAATACACAGAGATGATTCTGAACTGTTTTTAAGAAACTGAGGAGGAAAAAAAGTTTTTTTGAAATTGCTTGATTCTGCCACTCTGCATTTCTCTTTAAACTCCTTATTCAGAAAATAAATCTACCTTATTTTTTATAGCTGAACTGTCTCCAAATTTATGACCATTTTATTGAATAATTTTTTGAGCATTTTGGGGATTAAGATCCTTCTCATTCCAATAGTATAATAATACTTCTTTCTTTTTTTTGTCATTAGGCATAATCTTCATGGTCTTTTATTTAAGCACTCTTAATTAATTCCCACTAAATAGTTAAGGCTGTGGGGTGGGGGAGGAGAAATTGGAGTTCTTGAGTTGTTCTCACTGTTAAATTTCTCTTCATCTTAAACTGCATTATCAACTAATTTATTTTTCAAGATAAATTTATCTTACTTATAATGTGCTTTTTCTAGATTTACTAAATTTTTTGCAGTGAACATGTATTAAAAGTATAAATATTGTTATTATTATTATTATTGAGTTGGAGTCTCACTCTGTCACCCAGGCTGGAGTGCCACACAGCCTCGTCCTGCTAGGCTCAGGTAATCCTTCTGCCTCAGTCTTCCACGTAGCTGGAATCCCAGGTGTGCACTACCACACCCAGCTAATTTTTTGATTTATTGTAGGGATGAGGTCTTACCAAGTTGCTTAGGCTGATCCTGAACCCCTGGGCTCAGGCAATCCTCTATTATTTTTGAGAACTACAACCATTATACAGATAATCAATTGATACACTAATATCAACAACATGGATTCATTCTAACATCTATTCCTTAGCTTTGCTGGTTTCACCGTGATTCTTCTATTAAAGATTAGCAAACAAAATCTACCGTTGATATTTATTTAACAAAGACAACAAAATCTGGAGAAATATCATTTGTAAGGCATATAGAATTTCCACAAACAAGGAATTATACTTTTAAAAGAGAAGGAGTAATTTAATTACCAAAATTTATTTAATTCTTTGTGGTATTTATTGGGACCTTGTTTTAATACATCGACCAAGTTTTGAGTAAAAATTTAGCTTAAATAAAATTCAACAAAAAATTATTGAGAAAAATGCACAGAAACCTAAATTGAAGGACATTTTTCAAAATTTATGGTCAGTATGCCAATTTAGAGACCCCTCTAACTTATCAAGGTCAATAAAAACTTGAAAAGACTAAGAAAAAGCAGATCAAAAGCAACAAAGGAGATATGACAACATAATGTCATTTAGTATCTTGATGGCATCCAGGAACAGAAAAAAATCCTTGGTGCAAAAACTGGGGAAATTTGAATAAAATGTAGAAGTTAGGCAATAGTAACCAGAGTTGGTGTCTTAGTTTTGACAAAACCATGGTAATGTAAGATGTTAACCTTAAGGAAACTGGGTGCTAGTATAGTGAGCCCTCTGTAGTATGTTTACAAAGATTCCTTCTGAAGCATCTTTACAAATTTTCTGTAAATAAATGATTTCAAAATCAACACTTTATTAAAAACAAAAGCAAAAAAATTAAAGTTTTAAAATTATATTTTCAAACAACCAACATTGGACGCAAATCCCTTGCAACAGTACCTAACTTAAGAGCAAAAACAACTCAATTTTCTTTTGGTTTTATTATCTCTGGAGCAATTTCACATACTATCACATTTGACCTTCACCACAGCTTTGTGATATAAGGAGAGCAAATTATGAAGGAAAACATTTCCAGTCCAAGGTCTCTTAAATGTTAGGTCATATTGTTTTAAAGTCACATTTTAACTATCTGTCCCTGAGGATTTGAAAGAAGCCACTTCATCACAGAGTGGAATCTGCCCTACTGTGTTTATTTAGGAAATGTCAACATCCAGATTTGTTTAGGAGAATTCTCCACCTGTCTCTGATCACCTCATGCTCTTGAAGTTGCTGGTAGAAGAAAATCTGGGTGAGGACCTGGGAAATAGAGGTGAGGACAAGGAACATTGGATTTTAGATTTGGGAAACACGTTTTTTGACCCAATGGTAGACATGATTAAAGGTCATGATCCTGAATTTACCTCAGTTTGTTTCTTCAAATATTTCCCGATTAAATTGAGGTGAGCAAGAGTAAAATTGTGCCAGAAGGTCTTCCCAGAAAGCTTTCAGACCTGCTACAAAGCAGTGTCCTATAAGTCATGACTGAATCTACTATGAAAGGCTCATAGTAAGTCAATGCCTGCAGTGCTATTTGGGCCAAGGCTCTTGTTAAGACCAATAATGATTTAACTGTCTTTAGTTCTTTCTTCTTCTTCTTTTGTTTTTGTTTTTTTGAGTTGGAGTCTTACTCTGTCGCCCAGTCTGGAGTGCAGTGGCATGCTCACAGCCACTGCAGCCTCGACCTCCTGGGCTTAGGCAGTCTTGCCACCTCAGTCTTCCAAGTAGCTGGAACTACAGGTGTATGCCTCCATGCCCAGCTAATTTTTATTTATTTATTGTAGAGACGTGGTCTTGCCAAGTTGCCCAGGGTGGTCTTGAACCCCTAGACTCAGGCAATCCTCTCGCCTCAGCCTCTCAAAGTTCTGGGATTACAGGCTTGGCTCTTTTTTCTTCTTAAAGGAAAAAATATTAACAGACTTCTGGTATATAGATCCTTATGGGAGAATGATTATGATTTATGTATATTTTCATTGGGTGAATTGTGTGATAATCCTCTGTCCCAAAATAATTTGTGAAATGTCTCCCTCACAAGAATAAATCTAACCAAAACTGACCACAGTGCTCTCCAGCCATACTGGAATGAATTTAGATAATTTAAAATAGTTTATAATCACAAGTTTTGTGCCCTTTGGGTTCAAAAGGAAATCAAGGAAAATTATAAAATACTCAATTTGAAGCCAAATCTTAAAATCACAGTACTGAATGAAAATGTACAATAAAGTACAATGAATAAGTACAGTGAAGCAGTGATTCTCAAGGGACCTGTGGTAAAGGGTCAGGTTTATTAATCAGTCACAGATTTTTAACATAATACAATAAAAATAACTACTGAAAAATGAAATTAAAAAAGCAAAGTTATAGAAAATTCAGGCCCACATTTTTTGCTACTAATTTTCAAAGCTATAAAATTGTCTTAATAAATATGATCAGACCAGACTCGGTGGCTCAGCCTGTAATCCCGCACCTTTGGGAGGCTGAGGTGAGTGGATTGCCTGAGCCCATGGGTTCGAGACCCGCCTGGGCAGCGAGACCTCATCTTTACAATAAATCAAAAAATCAGCCGGGCATGGTAGCACATGCCTGTAATTCCGGCTACTTGGAAGGCTGAGGCGGAAGGATCGCTGGAGCCCAGCAGGTCGAGGCTGCGGTAGCTGGGAACGGCCACTGCACTCCAGTCTGGGTGACAGAGTGAGACTCCAACTCAAAAAAAAAAAAAAAAAAAATATATATATATATATAATCAGAACAAACATAATATAGGAAAAGGTTTCTACATGCTAATTCTCAATTTTTTTTACTTAACACAGACCAGTAATGATGGATTTGGGGACCAGTATTCTGAGTAACACTCATTTATAGCTCAATGTAACTTATATAACTTAAAAATACACACACACACACACACACACACACACACACATATCCATGATTTATAAGAATGCATACAAATAAACAAATATCAAACCTACTAAAGAGGATGTTTATTACAAGGAGGGTGGTACCAAAAGGAAAATTGAATAAATGAGAATCAATCAGTCAAAAGAGTGTCCCAACACAGACCAATGAGAATAATGTACTGAGTGTATGATTAACTCATACCTCTGAAGGCAGCGCATGCACGTGGAGACACCACACACTCTCTCTCTTTCTCTCTCTCTCCAAAGAGATTGATGAAATATAGTCTTTCACACTAACTTATTATTTTCCATCTACTTTGACTCATCTTACTATCATTAACTTTACTCCCGACTACTCTACACTATTAAACTGATAAAAAATCATTAAGTACACATATTTTCCACAGGGTTAAATGTGTGCTTTGTTTTTCATCCTATCATCTGAATAAGTCAAAAGTATCTACTATAAATACCTTGGCTAGTTTATACTGGTTAGAGTCAGAGTGAAAGAATTTTACATCTTGGAAAGATCTTAAGTATGCTATCTACACTTACATTTCTTCATTTCCCACTCACTTGTAAATCATGCACAAATCTAAAACATAACCTTCAGTGGTATGGTTTAAAATATTGATATTTGACAAGTAAATGACTGCTCCTGTCTGCTGATTTACGAGCTCTACTCTGTGGTTGTTTGACTTGAAGTCATGGCATCACTACACCTTCCTTTTTGGAAGCTTCCCTCTGCAGGTTTTGTAAGTTTGAGACCCTCGATAGCTTTGCACTTAGCCTTTGTATTTTGCATTGATTAATGTTTTTGTACACCCAGGAGAGTTAAAGCGAGAGCTTTGCAACACTTAACTGTGATTTGAGTTGTGAAGAAAACCTGTTTCTAGGAGGCTCCAAACTTCTTTATTCAATTAAAAGTAGATTTTTTTGGTTGATTTATCAAGATAGCCTTCCCAATTTCCTCTTTATTTGTAGAGACATGATCCATTTCAGTCTGGAAGTATTTATCATGCTTCATATCTTCCTGATGAGCCCTTCACTGCTCATCACTGGATAGTAATTAAATAAACAAGTAGAACTTTGAAATTCATCTGTTTTTCTCTTTCTCACTAGGTTTCAAAATTAACTACAAAATTAATATGTACTAATTATAACAAGTCAGACAATACAGAGGTATCTAAAAAAAAGTAGCCCCTTCCTACCATTCAATGCTGGATTATTCAATATGCAGATCAAGCTTATATCCAGGACACTCACAAGAATAACAAATTTCCAAAATATTTTTGAAAAAAATGCTATAATTGGTATTTTTTAAAAAAGCAATGAACAGGTGATCATAGGAAAAATCAGAAATCTGTGGATTTCTTTATCTTTATTTTGTGTTTTAGTATTTTTATTTAATTTTGTATTATTGTGAGGAGAACAAATATGTCAAGATTATATTTTGTTCAAAATGTCTATGTATATATAATTTTTACATACTTATTATTTTAGAATTTTTAAGTCTTAAAGCTTTAGTATTTCATAAATGTTTCTTTATAATGAGCTATTATGCTTATTGTACTAAATTACATTGCTTGTTCATTCTTCTATTGTTAAATATTTTCTTGGCCTGGCATGATGGTTCATGCTGGTAATCCCAGCATTTTGTGAGGCCATGATAAGAAAGTCACTAGAGCCCAGGAGTTCAAGACCAGCCCGGGCAGCATAGCAAGACCTTGTCCTTACAAAAAATAAAAAAAATATTAGCTGGGGATGGTGGCACATGCCTGTGGCCTCAGATACTTGGTAGACTGAGGCAGAAGGACTGCTTGAGCCCAGGAATTTGAGGCTGCATTGAGTCGTGATTGTGTCACTGCTCTCCAACTTGGGCGACAGAGTGAGATCCCAACTCAAAAATAAAATAAAAAGAAATTGTTTTTCTTAACTTCCTATTGATATGACATTTATGTCTATTTTATATATCTGTAGCTATTTTCTTTTTCAAAAATAATATTCTTGGGATAAGTTAGTGGAATGATAGTGCATCAAAACTTATGAATATTCATATAACTCTTCATGACTATGACCAAATTGCTCACCCAAAGGATTTAATAGATTCACAAAAATGAGACTGTACGCATTCTGAGTTTAGAAATAGTTTGGAGCATGAGGACGTGGTAGCAGGTGAGGTTAAGAGCAAGAAAGGGAACAGGAAGGAAGTGATTGCCTTATCCTGGCCAGAGATGTGTATCTCAACTACGATAGCAGAAGTGGATATATAGAGAAAAAAATGAATAAATATTTAGGGGGTGGGTTTAGCAGGCTTGTTGAGGAATTGGATATAGGAAGAAGGAATGAGGAAGACTGGAGGATAAGTCACTTTTTTATTTTTTACATTTGAGTACTGGATAGAACAGAATAGGTTTGGGAGGAGGATACTGAGAATACTATGCACTATGTATCCTCAATATCCCAACACCCAGCACAGTGGCTACTACCATGAAAGTATTCAATCATGTTAGTTGAATAAATGCTTCATGTGTACATGCACAAATGAGGGCTGCAAGCAATGAGTATTTCCTTTTTCCAAAGGCTCACAAGTATTGGTTGTGCACCTAGAAGTTGATTTCCTGTTTTTAGGTCCTCAAGAGGATATTTTGAACTCGGACTCAACCTCTTGTTCATAAGAACAAGAAAGTGAGAATAAGAAAGAAATTGTGGAAAGAAAGAGAGGTTAAAGACAAAACTCAGGACTTCAGAACAACCAGATTCTCATCTCATAAAATTGGTCAACTACTTTATACAGTCAACCTTATGCCAAGTTATATAGACTTAGCTATTTCTTAGAAAGTTGGCAATCTTCGAACTCAGGCTGCTAAAAAGTCAGTATCTCTGATTCAGAATGAAGAAATGGCTCCATTTCACTTACCTCAGTGTTCACCAGAGAGGGATTGAACAGATTGTTCCCTAAAGCTCTCTGCTGTATCCAAATCTCCAAGTAGTTTTCTGTCTCTAGCTGCACTTTGGATACCAAGCACCTTAGTTATATGATTGTGATTTATGCTTATGTTCTGATATCAAATTTTGTCATTTGGGGTTGCTGTGTTTTCCTGTATTTGTCTTATATCTCCCAGAAGGCAAAGGTCATGATCTATATTTCCTTTGTAACTCCCCAAGAGTCAAGTATAACTTTAGCATAAAGCGAGAGCTAAACAACTACTGATGATTGTCCAACTGTAAATACTCAACTGGTGAAAGTGGTAGTTTTAAATGGTCAATAAAAGGTACCATGTATCCAGTATTAGGAAACAAAAGGTTTATTGAAATGCATGTCGATAAATTATCACCAGCGTAAAACTGTTAGTGGAGTTTTCAACATGGGTTCTTTTTACTCTTAGAATGAAGTGAGGCTTTGCAAATCCATTGTCCCATAGGAAAAATATTACATTTCTCTGTTCAGATAAAGTCCTTTAAAAAAAGCAAATCTCTTTCGAAATGGTCTTTTAAACGTCTCCAGCCTATGAATATATAACAAAACAAAAATATATTAAAAATATATAATACTCTCTGTTAAAAAGAATTAAATATGAATGGTTTGTGGGCAATAAACATGAAAAATACTTAGCATTTGAAACTCTAAAATTTTCTCTTGTTTTATTAGTATATATTAAAATATTTAAGAAATAATTAAAATAAAAAATTACCAAGACAAATGACAAGCAACCATAAAATGCAAAAAAGGACAATAGTTTTATTATTATATATTTAGGAAATAAGCCAAAATGTTATCTCCTTAAATACACAAGTTTTAAATAGCTCTGGTTTCAATAATTTGGAAATACAGTCCAAATGAGTTTTAATTTATATTTAAGACAAAATACCCTTAATAGAAGAATTAAAATCAATAAATATAGTCAGAAAAACTAGGAATAAACTTTTAAAAGTATTTCTGAAAATATGTGGGTCAACAGAATTTATCAGTTAATTTTCTACCAATTATTTCCAGGGTGAAATGGTCTAGTCATATTCTAGGTCAACATGGTGTTCTGGTCCAACCTGTTTGGCTCCCCCCAGGTGGTGTTGTTGTCCTTCTCCAATGGCGAGTCTGTTGAATGGGATTATCTTCATCGTGGTTTTCTTCATGGAATACCACCGAGATTTCCAAGTGGCCCAAATAATGCCATTATCATATCCATTAGGAGTAGATGCTTTTGAGTAAGTGCCACCTTAAAACAAATTGTAGATATGTGTATCATTGCTCTTGAATTTCCTTACCTCAGCAAATCTATAAGAACTGTCTATTATGGAATGCACTATCAGTGAAATCAATTTTATAGTATTTTCCACTAATTGAAATTAAACTTAAAGATTCCTAAAATCTTTATGTGTAATTAAAATCCATTTATTATTAAGCAATCCTTTACATCGGTGTTGTGTTTACATCTCATGGTAAAATCCGTGCTTTACATTTACTCACAACTAGCAGGGTTAGAAACCCAAAGTTCCCTAGGTGGCCTCTCTCCTTAAGCTTAGCTATCCTGGTCTAAGGCTGTCTTTCCTGCAGGGCATCTTTCCTCAGGCAGGATAGAATGGCAGAAGCCACAGATACCTGATCAGATGGTCTCAAGTTATCCGAAAACACAATTTTACTGGTTAACTAAAGAAAGCATGAGAAGTTTTAGGAAATGGCTCTGAAATGTTATTTTACATCACTGTTACAAACTACAGGCTAGGTTGACTTGTCTACTGTTTGTTCAAAGGCTCCAGATCTCATGCAATTTTGTGAGGGGTTGTCTGAGTCCAGCACTGGACTAACATCATGGCTTCCCTGGGTCATATGGACCAAGCACCTTCTCTAAGAGTGTCTTCTAACTGGTGTAAAGGTACGTTGGGTTTCTCCCATTTAAAAGTGTTGTGAAAACCAAAAATATATTTTAAATAAACTGAGATGGGATTTCAAGATGGCTATTGTCTAGGATGGTGTCCTCAGGAAGTAAGGTTGCTCATCAGTAGATGAGAGGAGTAGTCGAACTAAACTTTAGCATTGACAGAGCTTAACTACATGTAACTGTTGGTTAGTAAGTAAAACCAGCATTCCAAATCATTCCAGCCTTATAAAAAACTATAACCTACCTCCCCATCCTAAAATAAGTGTCTGCAATCCCAAGGCTGATCTCTTCTCTCATGCTTTCATGAATTGCCCTTACCAATACTTTCCTGTTCTTTATTCTATTCCTCTAGACACCTGCTCACTGCTCATTGGGTGTATCTGACACACAGCTGAGACAGGCTAATGTATTAAGAATAATCAATATGGGAATGTTAGGCCATCCAGATCATATATATGTGTGTGTATGTGTGTGTGTGTGTGTGTGTGTGTGTGTGTGTGTGTGTGAGAATCTACGTGTGAGGAGGTACGACTAACACTGGATGTTTTTTCAGTACTTGCCCCTGACATAGAAATTTAATGCCCTATAGGAACCTGTATCTGATTCAGGGAATCCCAAATCCATG